GTGACCCCCTCAAGGGGGTCGAATCTTTTTTCTATTTTTTATGATTAATATGTAGGAGTTTAATAGTGTGATAAGAGTGTAAAAATAAGTCGTAAATTGTGAATGGTTTGAAATCTATTTATAGTTTGGGATTGGCATAGCCCATTTAGGCCTATTTGGATCTGGGCTTAAGTCTAGCCCGAGTCCTTAGGCTTGAGTCTGGACTATCATTTTGAAACCTGGTCCAGCTTGATTTCCTTGGCCTAACCCATCTGGCCCAACTCATCAGCCCGTTTAAGACTCACTCAAGGCACGATTTCGAGACTCAGTGTTTTTTTTAGTGAAAAATAATAAAATTTCGATTGAAAAATTTTAAAAAATAAAAAAATGGGTTAGGTTCAAATCCGAGGCTAGGCCCAAGCCTACCGGTTCGCCCAATGCCCGAATACTCCTAGGCTTAGGGCTGGGACTAGGCCTAATTTTTTGGCCCATGGGTTGGCCCGCCCCCGCCTGAATTTTGGCTGGAGCCCATGAGGCCTGACATGGGCTGGGCTAGGCCATATTTGCACTCTTACTCTTAGGATGGTTCTCTAAGTGCTAGATGAATCGTATTTAAGACATGAGTATGGGGTTGAATCCTGACAGCTGCACTCTTTTACTTAAATGGTGTGTGCGTTGTGGAATCAGTGCACACACTCGACTAACACTAGGGTATGGGGTCGATTCCAAAATCGACAGAAGACAGATTTGAAGAGTTTACTCGTTAACTCAAAATTGGGACAATTACACATCATTAATGTCATAAAAAATTAATTATATATTAATAAAAAAATTATAATTATAATTATTATTAATATTTATAATGTTTCTCAATATTTTGTAAATATTTTCCCTACGTTCAAAAAAATCAAGAGAAATTACAATTTATTGATTTTTTAAAAAATATTTATAAAATTATGGAGATGTAACACTTTTTTGTTAAAAAAATACAATTTAAGTTATATCTTAAAATGATTCTCATATTTTGATAATTTTTCCGCCCAGTTCTCACTAAGGTCTATTTTAAAAAGATGGTTAAAAATTATCTTTCAACTTTTAACTCATTTTGAGTCACATCATGTCTCATATTTTATTTATATATATATATATATATATATATTTAAAAAAAGTCAAAAAAAAACTAACTTTTAACAATTTTCTTAAAATAGGTCTAAATAATAATTTCTCTAAAAAATTGCAAGTTCGTGAATTTAAAAAAAAAAAATTTATGATAGATCTAACAAATGGCTTCGACCACTGCCGTCACTCTCCGACCACCTCTAGCCCTCTTTCGCCACTCTAAACCTCTCTTCCATCCATTTGTGTCACTCGTTACATCATATTGTCCTCCTCTTCCTGCCTTACTTCACACCCTATTTGACTCAACAAAAAATGTTTGAAAGTTCTAAAGGAACTTTAATGGGGGGCCTCATTGATTTGATGTTTTGATATTTTTCAAAAATGTTTGAGACCTCTAAATGAGGAGCTCTAGAGGTGGACCTCATTTTATGATTTAATATTTTGACTTGTGATGTTCCATTTTTTTTAATTTTTTAATTTTGTTATGCATTGACACATTACTAGAGTTGGCATTAGAGCTCCAACTCTACTGTTCTCTATCATCACTTGACCTTTTTTTTACCTTGCAACGTCATTAAAGCTATTGTTAGAGCTCTCTCCCTAGAGCTCTGTATCATCACCGTTGACTCAAATCTTACCGAAACTCTCCAAACCCTCCCTCTTGCCCACCATCTCCTTCCCTTGTTACAAAATTATTATTTTTGATTATTTTAGAAAGCTAGTTAAAAGTCATCTTTTAATTTTTAGCCCATTTTAAACCATATCATTTCTTATATTTTTTTACACATCTTTTTAAAAAATTAAAAAAATTAATTTTTAACCATCTTTCTAAAATGCCGATTATTGTGTGCAAATGTAATGTGTGATGGGTACAAGTGCAGTACACGTACGGTGTATGATAAGTATGCACAACCTCACATAGTTTACACTTGTATCGGGTTCAGTTAAATTTTGCCTCATTATTCTTCTTGCTTTATTCAATTGCAAATATGCTAGAGGGCCACAATTTTTGTGGTCACAATGGCTCAAAACTGTCAAAACGACGTCATTTTGGCATGTTTTGCACCCAAAACGACGTCGTTTTGACAGTTTTGAGCCATTGTGGCCACAAAAATTGTGGCCCTCAAACATTTTCTATTCAATTGTCATGGTTAAAGCTTCTCAATGACTGGTAAATTTATGCCCCATGTTCCACTGTTACAAAATTACAGTATTCTTCCTTCTCTATTCAAGTGTTTCAATTTAATTCTATTAATAGTGTTAGGTTTTTATTCTTGGCAACCCCGTTTGACAAAACTCCTTTTCAGATGTATTTATTTTCACACTTTTATTTCAGTGAGGCTATGAGTTTATTAGATGCGAATCCAAACCCGAATCGAACCATGCAGAGAAGTTTGTGATGTTAATGCTTTCAAGATTGCCACTTCGCGGCCGAAGCAAAATGCAAAATTGCATTCAAAATTGCATGTCCGTCGTTGCTCGCTCGAGCCAAGGAATTCTCGCTCGAGCTAGGGCTTGCTCGCTCGAGCCAAGGAATGCGCGCTCGAGCCAAGGAATGCGCGCTCGAGCCAAGGATTGCGTCCATACAAAAATCTGAAAAAGTGTATTCCTCGCTCGAGCCAAGGATCCGTCGCTCGAGCCAAGGCACTAGTAGAAATCATGAAAAATACACTCCTCGCTTGAGCCAGCAATGATTCGCTCGAGCGAGCCTCAGAATCCGGATTTCTCAAGGAGTTTGTTTTCTTCCCAATCTAGGATTACTTTTGGTTCTCTATAAATACTTGGTTTTCTCCCAAAACTAAGTGATTGATTGAAGTCCTCCAGATCTTCTTTTTGGTTCTTAAGGTTTATATCTGGGGATATTTTGTTTGTTTTCTTTGATATTTTTTTTTTTAGTCTTCAACTCATGCTTTAACAAGAGTACATCAAAGGTTTGTTTGTTATACACAAAAGAGAGAGTTATTCTTCAGTTGTGGATTCTGAAGAATTCGAGCCTGAAGCTTTGGTGGAATCTAGAGTGGCTCATCAGAAAGACAATTCCGTGGTGAAGATGGGGTTGGAAGAGGCACATAGAGGTTGGTTCAATTAGGCGTTGTGGATTCGCTAGGTAATTGAGAGTATACCTGTGTAATTCCTTTAAATCTTCTTTGTGGATTGTTCTTGTGGCTGTTGCCCGTGGTTTTTTGATCACAGTTGGAGGTGTCCAATTGTGGTTTTTTCCACGTTAAATAGTTGTGTCTTTTTGTCTTTTTGTCTTGATTGTTTGATTGGGATTGTTATATTCTGCTTAAAATTGATACATAATCACAAATCAACATCTAGGGGATTTCTAGATTTTTCACTTTGCTTTGTTATTATTCAGTGGACTTCAACTCACTATTTATATTATGTATGTAGGTGAACAAGCACGTGACCAGGCTCAGAGTTGATGGCCTGTAATAACCCTGATCCACAATTAGCCACTAATCGGTAGTTAAGGATGTTAATTAAGTGAATAAAACTTTGGTGGAATCCGGAGTGGCTCATCAGAAAGACAATTCCGTGGTGAAGATGGGGCTGGAAGAGGGACATAGAGGTTGGTTCAATTAGGCGTTGTGGATTCGCTAGGTAATTGAGAGTATACCTGTGTAATTCCTTTAATTCTTCTTAGTGGATTGTTCTTGTGGCTGTTGCCCGTGGTTTTTTTATCACAGTTGGAGGTGTCCAATTGTGGTTTTTTCCACGTTAAATCGTTGTGTCTCTTTGTCTTGATTGTTTGATTGTTTGATTGGGATTGTTATATTCTGCTTAAAATTGATACATAATCACAAATCAACATCTAGGGGATTTCTAGATTTTTCAAATAGATTATTAAAACATCTTTTCTATATTGATAATTAGATTAACGCAATTTAAATATTGAGAATCAAATTGAAACAGTTCTATACATTTAAGGGATCAAATTAACATAATCTAAATATTATAGACCAAAATGACACAAAACTCATATTTTGAAGACTAAAAATATAATTAATCCTCATCTTAATAATAAAATTTTAAAATTTAAAACTTATTCTTATTGTGTCATGTATTTTACTAAAAATCACAAACCCAAGTTGATTTGATTGGAACAAAAATGGAGAAAAAATGATAAAATTTTAAATATTATATGAATCTATTTAATTGACTATTAATTGATTCATAATCCTCGAAGAATGAGTGATTTTATGTTATAATCTCATTTCATGTTGGGAAGTTAAATCAGTAGAATAAATTTAAATATACAGAATGAGGTACACATGGTTTTGCTTCAACACATGGTGGACCCCACATGCAAAACCTACTCACATGTGTTTTATTTTGCAAAAATCTTCCGTGTTTATAGTACAATAGAGTCAAGAATTGCATTTCATTCTTGACTACACACAAGCAGTTGAAACTTAAAAATGCAAAGATTGCGTTTAAGAATGATAAGATATTGTAACTAAGGAAATTATTGAATAATTCCGAAAAACTACATAGCCATACTTCAAGCCAATTATTAATTATTTAGTCCCATGTTGTTCCTTCATCCTCAACATAAATCGTGAGCCCCCACCCCGTTCTATTAATCAAAACTTTATAAAGCACGACGTGTCCATACTCTGAGAACACTGAATAATCACCACCCTTGAAAGCTCTTTCAAATGAAAAATAAAATAATATAAAATAAAGCAAAGCATTTGTTGCTCTGCGTTTGTGATGAGTCCGTCAAACGTGTAAAATCCTTCAACAACACGAAATGGAACAATAATTTACAATTCACACTCTGGTCCCAAACAAGTCCAACAAAACACATACTTTCTTTGCCTAGTATCATTTCCATTCATTGAAGAGCCAACAATTTCTTTGCCAAAAAAAATAAAATAAAAAATAATTAAGAATTTCAACGGCAAACTAAATCTTATTTTTCATTGAAAATTACCAACTAGAATTTTGTTTACAAGAATGAATCAATAAAAAAGGAAGAAAGGGAAAAAAAAAAGAAAAAAAGAGAGCCAAAATTGGCTGTAAATATGATCCAGATCAATTGAACCATCTACAAAATAATGAAGAAATCAAGAAATCAAGTTAGCCCCCCTTCATCCCCTAGCATATGCTGCAAAAACACGCATTCAGGGCACATCTGCCCCTGGTGCTGCTAGTTTTGAGTTATCCCTATATTACCAATCGCCTTAGCTAGCTGTGGGAATGGGGGTCCTAGGACTTGGGAGTCCCATGTATGCTAATCTAGGAGAAACCCAGACCTTTGGGCTCGGCCGGGGAGATGGGATCGGACCATAATTGCCGAAGGGTGAAGCAACTCGGGGTGACAGGTTTACTTGTTCGAGTGCTCGGAATTGTAGCTCTGTTGGGTAGTCCCGGACACAACCAATACGAGGACCGGCTCCGGTACTCCACTTGCATGACAAGGGCTTGTCAAAGTTGAACACTGGGGCTTCAATGTTGGCATCATTGGAGCCCGTGTCTTCTTGATGATCGGTCGTAATTGACTGTTCCAAAGCCTGAAGGTCTACATAAGATGTGTTTGTATTTTCAGATTGTGTATTTTTAGTGAGAGTCAATACCGGCTTGGGCTGTGGCTCCTCAGAATTAACCTTAAATGAAGGATAGTCATCATCAATTGCACACCTCTGTATTAAAATGAAAATGCCAAATCAGTATTTGTAGATCATAATATCAGTTATGCAGACTCGGATTACAAAAACATCAGTTATAAACATCCAAATAACTCATATATACATGCCCATAAAATATGTAGACCTTCTAAGCACGAACATTGCTAAGAAGGTGGTGTTTATATTGTGTCCGTGCCGTACAACGACACTCGCCGGACACTTGTCCAAATATCTCCTATTATTTTTAAATTATTTTAGACTTGGACACTTGGGAGATACAATTATCCATTGCTTAGACACACATGAAACTAATTACAAATTTAAATAAAATAACTCAAAATATAATGATAAAGAAAATCAATGTAAATTTATAAAAATTAGTATTATGTTGCATTTTTTTTTTATTAGCTTTGAATGATATATATTCATATCATATATATATGAGATAAAGTAATAATATATAAAATTATATATTTTATGCGTGTCCCGATGTGTCCTATCTTGTATTTTTTGAAAATTATCACGTCAGTGTGTCCATGTCCGTGTTTCTTAGATGTAGTTCAGAACATCTACCTTAACATTAGTGAGATCTACATGGTGCTCGCCAAGGAAGCTAATGAACTCCTGGAAATTTTCTTCTGTTGGGTGATAGTGACCACTGTATGGCCATATAGCCTGGAAAAAAAAGTATGAAAAAAAGATGTATTTAGACACAAAAAGAAGTATAATTGCATAAACTAGATGCAAGGGTAGATGCATATGTACGCATCTATATATGTACCTCGAGAACCCCATCATGAGCAACTAATCTTCCAGCAGCTGTGGTCGCTCCACCGGCTAGAAAACTTGAATGCTGAAACGTCCCTTTCTTCTTCTGCCCCACATACAAAGTCCTTGACGTGCTTAGGACAAAAATCCACTTCGAACCCTCTGTGGTTTCTACGAAACACCCACTTTCTTTGTACAAAAGCCTCCCGTTTTCAACAATTACTTCATATGCTTCCCTTTCTTTCTGAAATGGAATAAAAAAAAGTAGCAATAAATTAGATACACACACCATATACGTAATTTGTGCAGGGCAATGTACGTTTATTCATGTATCTGTATCGTGCTAAACTTTTAGATGATTTGAAACTTACTGGTCCTAGGTATTTGATGCATTGGCGCTGTAGCTTGATTCTTGGGCAGGCCTCAAGGTTTACTTCCTTGCCATTGCCTACATCCAACCTTCATATTTCAGAGATGAAAATGTAAGTGACAGTTAGTGGCAGAGACAGGATTTTAGTCCAGGAGAGAAAATACTAGAACAATTTTTTGGGTTAAGTCAGTTTGAAACACACTTTAGTTTGGTTTATCAAAAAAAAAAAAAAAAAAACACACACACACACTTTAGTTTGGTAAAAGTAATAATGAAAAAAAAATCAATTATCAATATTTTGAAACTATTCCAATCTGTTCTATGTGTGTTTGGTTTGTGAGAAAGTGGAATCAAGTAAAGAAACAAGACATGTTGTATTTCTCCTTGCTTGGGTTTGTATGAGATACATACAACAACTAAACAAATTTGTGAAGCTCAAGAATTCAAATCCTTTTCAAAGAAAACTTGATTTATATAGCCATGTTAAATCAGATTAAAGACATTGACCTTTCCTTTGTTTCCAACAAATTTCTCATCAACCAAACAGAGTAATAAGTTAAAAGCAATTACCAAGTACTCACCAGTAGAAGAAAGGCTGAGTGCTCTCACTTTGAAACCAGATATCATAATACAGATGTAAATTGTGTCCATACCGATGCCGTGGATCAATCTGTAAATAAATAAAAAAAGAAGTATGTTTGGATCATTGAATTCTCTTAAACCTTGATGGCCTACTATACCCAAAATTGGTGATTGAATTAAGTAGATCAGCTCCTAGTTGGAGGGCATGTTTGCCACTTACAAGGAAAATTTTGTTTCCAATTCAAAGCCTAGTGAGATTGTACAAGTTCCCACAACACTTGTCGGAGACACATCTAAACATGTTCTACTATTATTAAAAAATTCCTAGACTTGGACATGCTTTAGAGAACATGTGTCTATTGCTTACACACTCAAGAAACACATTACATGTTTGAATTAAATAATTTGGAATCCAATAATAAAAGAAAAACAACATAAATTTTTACTTAATTCTCCTCCTTTAAACTACAATAATTATCGTCTTTGCCAATAATTATTTATTCTTATATATACCATATTATATATTTTGCATGTCTATCATGTGTCATGTCCTACATTTTTTTTTGAAATTTCCATGTTGGCGTGTCTATGTCTTGTCATGTGCACGTGCCCGTGCTTCTAACCATCAGACTTAAGGTTCTGACACTTGTGACCTTAGCTTCTATACTATTGCATCATGCAATAGCCCCCCCTAAACTTTCTACAATGTTTGTATTATCAAAATGGAAAATATCATGATCTTTGAAAAAAAAATAAATAAATAAACGAACTAAAACGGTTTCAATTCAAGGACTTACCGCTTCAAGCCAATGTTGCAGGGCTAGTTTTTGAGCCTTCTCATCCTTGGACAATCCCTTTCCCACCTTCAATCATAAAAAAAGATAATATTACAATCTGAAATTTTCCAAAATATGGAGAAAGGGAGGGGGAAGAACTGTTTTGGACGTTGAATACAATATGAATGAAAAGAGTACCTTGGCAGCTCTTGTCCTAGCCCTAGCCCATCGGGAAACAGCAGTTTCATGTTTCTTCTCTCCCTTGAAGAATGACACAGAGCTCCGTTTGAGAGCAGCAAAGTCTAACGCTTTCCACCTACAAAATTTGAAATAAAACATTAAACCACTTGAGGAAAACAACAGATTACAAGCAAAAGCAAGATAAGAGTATGTAAAGCGACAAACCAGAGCTCTTCAACCACAACTGCGCAATCCGCAAGGTTTCTCCGAGTACGGTAACTCTTATAGACTTTCTGTACCTTAACCGCTGCAGCATCAAGCTCACTAACAGGTCTTGGTGAAAACAATATTGCTGGTTCAGGAAGCGAAATTGAGGGCACTGATTTATCAATAAAGCCATCAACTTTATTGTTCAATGCGTTCAAACTCGAATTCCTTATGTCTTGAACTAAATTCTTGAATGAAAGTGTTGTTTTGAGAATTACTTTTATGGGTTCACAGTTCAAGTTTATAGAATTCTTATTACTTTTCTTATCAAACCCATTACAGTTAGCTTCTGAATCTTTTTGCTTAAAGCTATCAGCACTCAAGGTCATCTCTTGTCCTCTATAACCGAAACTGATGTTGCGGGCCAAACCGAAAAACAAGTGGCTCACAATTTCTTCCCAGGCTGATGGAAGTAAGGATAGCGATAAACCCATACAAATTCCAATATGTTAAGTGCAAGTGTCCACCTGCACATTATTATTAACAGAACTATGTAAATTTACAAGGAGTCTGTTTGATTATAGCAAAAAATATGATGTGAAACTGTGAAAGAAAAGAAAGATAAAGGAAAATTTATTTAATAATATGCATTTGGTCAAGATGAAATTTTTGTGAGAAAAATTTATTTAATAATATGCATTTGATCAAGATGAAATTTTTGTGAGAAAGTTATGACAGTTGACTACTTTCACGGGAAAAAAAAAATCTAGTAATTTTTGCAAAAATTGAAAGCCGAGTTACCATGTTGATATTGGTTGCATTCATTTTTACCACTCATGCTAAATAAACCCGGGAAAAACAATTTTCAGTTTTTTCCTCTTTCTCACACTTTTCACCATTTTTCATGCTAATCAAACTCAGCCAAAAAAAAAAAAAATTAAAAAAAAGATAAAAAGAGGATTGAATGACTTCTGTCCTTGAAGATTTCCATAAAATGCCAATTTTCTAATCCAATTCAACAAAAATCCAAGTAAAATGTGCCAATTGCTATGTAGCTTTTCCCTTTATCCATAAAATATAGTACAAGTACTCACAACCTAGATAGATGCACCTATACATATACACTGCAATATACATCAATATTGACCTAGGAAATTCTTTAAGTTTTAAGTTCAACAAACAAATGCAGGCCTTCATAATTTTTGTTTCTAATACAAGACCCTTCCTACCAAACTCAAATGATTGAAATATATTTCCAAAAAAACTCAAAATACTACAAAACAATTTGATCCCAGTACAACAGCTTCCAACTTCTATCACCAAGAACCCAAACACTTGTCAAAAATTAAAAAAAAGAAAAAGAAAAAGAAAATCAGAATCCCATAATAGGCAATGAATCAAACACATTACATGCACAATGAGATATTCAATATAAACCAATCAAACCCATAAAAATCACAAACATGGTTTTGAGCAATAACATGATATGAGTCTCTTTACCTGACCAGAGCTTTCAGGCTACAAAAATGTATCTGCCTCTTACACACAATACAAGTTACAAAGATGTCTATGACTCTGACCACCTACCCTCCTTATATATATACACAGAGAGAGAGAGAGAAGAAGAAGAAGAAGCTAATAGAGTTCAAATGGAGCACAAGACACGTTTTCAAGCGTGGACTGGAAAATATAGAGCAGTGTTTGAATTGTCTTTAAGAGTAAATTGTTGAGATGTTTCTTGAATGAAAATGGGAATGGAAAAGTGGGCTAGATGAGTATCAAAAACACGAGTTTGCTTTGATGAAATTTTCAAAGCTTGAAATTTTGGAAAACCCATTTGGAATGGCAAGCTTTTTATGGGTAGTTTTTGTCTCCCCACGCACCAGAGAGTCAGGGACCAAAACACAGAACAGAGGAGAGAGGAGGGTAGACAGAGAGAGACAGAGGAGATGGGGCGGTCAAAGAAAGTAAGCTTTATATGATTTTCCACAACAACAACAACTAACCCCAAACAAGGAAAGACGCTTTTTGATATGATACTATTCTTAGAAAAATTTAGGACTTGCTTGGGGCAAATTATATAAATATATATATATATATATATATTGTATAAATGTATTTATTTGAATTATTCCAGTCAATATTTCTTCTCTATTTTTTTATACATTTTTTTTATTATAAAAAGTTAGAAATAACATTTATTTAAAATATTCCAAATCAACCTATAATATTACATTATTATTATTATTATAAATAAATTTATTTTTAATAATATTTTATTTTAAAACAGAAGATTCACAATCAATAATATTATGTATATATTTCTAATTTGTATAATCTTACTTTATTTTGATTAGAAGAAAAGTTTGCACACATGTAGAGGCTTCTCGAGTCCATATCGGACTGGAGTGTTGCTGTTAGGTGCTTGTTGACTTAAAAATTCACAACAATAATTTGATTCATTTTAATATATAAGTTTATTAAGTATTTCATTTTTACAATAAATGATATTGATTTAACATTTGTTAATGGGCAAATTACACTAACATTATGTTTGGATTGAGTGATTTGGAGAAAAAAGAAAAGAAAAGAAATTGAAAGATATATATTTCTCTTATTTGTTTGGATAATTTAAGTGGAGAGAAATGAGAATAAATGAAGTGAAACGGAAAGAAACTCATTTATCTTATAACTCTCATTTTCAATCTTCTCAAAAGTGGAGAGATTGAGAGAGAAAAGAAACTAATAAATTCTTATATTTTCATAATACCAATTTTATCCTTATAAAAATAAAAGAAATAAAATGATTGAAAATATAAAAATATTATTTTGATAATGTAACATAAAATAAGTTTTTTTCTTTTCTCTTATGAAATCTAACCAAACATGAAAGAAAGAAATCACAATCATTTCTTTTATTTTATTTCTTACTTATCTAAACAAGAAGGAGATAAATTACAATAATTTCTTTTCTTTTATTTTCTCTTATTACTTAAGTAATCATTTCTTTTCTTTTCTCATCTAAGTTCCCAAACATAGTGTAAAGGTCCTTATAGTTTGGGACTCATGTCATTTTGGTTATTGACTTTTCGATTGTGACACATTTGATCATAAATTTTGATTCTTGTTCCCAATAAGGACAATTGAATATACCATTGTTCAATCTCAAGAGCAAAGTCATCAATTTGATAAAATATAAACTAATCTGACAAAAATAAATATCAAAAAAAATATTTTTTAATTTTTAAAAATTATTCCTACCCATCAAAGATAAAATTGATAAATATTTTACACATTTATTTATTTTTTTATCAAATTAATTTTTATTATCTATTTTGATGATGATCATGTAATATGTAGTTGTTTTTATTTTCATTAAATTAGTTTTTGTTTTTTCAAAAGTCAAATATGGCGACAACTTTGATATCATTATCAAACCAATTAATTAAATCAAAAAATCAAAAGCTAAAAACATTTTATTATTAAATATATCAATTACATATTAAAAGCTTAACAACTACCCATTACATGATCATCATTCAAATACATAATAAAAATTAATTTGGTAAAAGATATCGATAGTCACTTGATCAAATTATATTTGTATCAACAACAAATATGATTTTAAAAATAAATTATTAATACAAATATAATTTAATTAAGTGATTCTTAATATTTAATTAATATGATTTTCTTACTGAAATAAAATACTCAATAAACTATACATATTAAACGGTATAAATTTCGTGATGTGCTCAGAGTACCACCAACACCCTTAAATTAATTTTTCCAAATGAAGAGATGGGTCTCCTTACATTAACTACAGGTCAATTTTACAACCACTTCCATACTTCTAATTTACTCTCATGTGGTCAGTCATCATATGTCATGGACTCATGAACGCGCCTACTAAAGTATCACAACGCAAGGTCCAACTTCTTTTTTTCTTTTTCTTATAAATAAATTATTTTGTACAAATTACATAACTTCTCCTCAAATTTAAAGAATTTGTAAAAACTTCTATTGAGATTTTTCAAATAACAAAAAAGGAGATTTGGTTTTAAATTACACTTATCTTTGAGGTTTAAAATGACACTTAACTTTGAGGTTTTAAATTACATTTAATAAAATTGTTTGAGATTTTTAGAATGACAAAAATCTCTCTTGAGGTTGAGTTTTAAATTACACTGACATCGTTCTAGATTTAATAAAATTATAAAACAAATTCATTAGGTTTATGAAATAATAGAAATCTCTCCTAAAGTTTAGTTTTTTTTTTTTTTATATTGGTCTTCTTTTCTGTTACTTTATCTTTAAAAAATAACATAAATTATCTATATCATCAAATAATTTAATTACATTTTCAAATTTACTCTTTAAAATTGTATTCAATTACAAAGAAATAAATCTTAAAAAAAAAATCTACAATTTCTATGTTCTCTCTATTATGCCTGCAATTAATGTTAACTGTGTGTGCCTTCTTTATGCCTCGTTTGGAAACAGGTTATTTTAGTAATTTTTTGACTTTTTGAATAAAATATAAAGTAAAAAAAACTAGTATATTTGGAATGATTTTTTGACTTTTTACGAAAAGATGTGCAAAAAAGTGGAGAGAAAAAAGAATCTTTGACTTTTTAGTATAAATTGTTAACTTTTTAATTTTTTTAATAATTTTTTGACTAAAACAACCACTTGCCAAACGAGGCCTATTCAAAATCCACATGTTACCAAGTATGTTGTAAATTAACTTTAAAAAGATCCCGCACAATCATCCACCACAATCGTTTTTTTATTTTTAATAAATATATTCTTATGTATCTTCAAAATTTGTAAATAAACATTAAAATATTAAAAAATCAATAAAAATAAAAAACTGAAAAATAATTTTTGAAAACAAAACTAAAACAAGTGTCCCTATCTTAGTCTATATATATATATATATATATATTAATAACGGGATATACGGGTTAATTTGTACTCACATCAATTAATTCCAAAGCCTTAAAATTAATGACCGGATAAAATTCTAACCGCCCCTTAAGTGACTAAAACTCAAAATCTATATTTTATTTTTAATTTTTTACCGTTTAACCAACTCCTTTTAACTTCTAGCCATAGTGTTATTGGTGAATTGAATACATTTCTGCTAATTAAGCTACCCTCCATTTTCTAAAGCTTGGCATAAAAGAAGAAAAACGCTTTTCAAAGAAAAGTTTTCACTAATGGATGATTTGGTATTTTTTTTTCTTAATAAAAAATAAATAATTGATCACTGATGTATGGAGAGCAAATATTCCGGCAAGCCCGTACTCCATTCTTCCAAGCTCCTGCCTGTCCGATCGACCTGCAAGCACAACGGAGGTGAGCTACTCGGTGATGTGTGGCCGGAATACCCCTCCGATGGTCAAGTTAGACACATACAGGGATAGTGAGAGAGAGAGAGGATTAAGTGTTTTGTGTAAATCTCACCAAATGCTCATCTGTGCAGCATGGGGGGCGCAGACTCGCTTACATACCTTCTGCGCCCCAAATCTACTTCCATTAGTCTCTCGACACGTGGTGCTACTATCCCATCTGCTAGCGCAAATCTAGCTAAACATCACCTAACCAAGCTGCCAGCCCACACTACTGGGAGCTCGGCAGCCGGGCTGCAGCATCTCGGTTGCCAAAGGCCGTGCTGTGTTGCTAGCCAGAGTGCTTCGCCTGCCAAGCTCAATGACGATCGAGCTCGGTTGCATTCTGGCATAGCCGAGCTCGGACAGCTCATTCTAGTTAGCCGTCGGCCTTTCTGCCGGGCTAACCCACGAACCGTGGAACCCAGTGATGTAGCGGACATCTCGGCCGAACCATCACTCAACCGGTCTCTGCACCCTGAAGCCAAGTAGCTCGGTTCAACCATGCCTTGCTTTAACCGAGCAAAGCCTTCCTAGGCAGGCCCATGCTACCACGGCCCAACTGTGTTTGGCCCAAATCTGCCCGGTCATTACCACGGCCCAGTCCAGATCATAAATCTTCGTCTCAATTGCCCCTTAATTCCGTCCGCGCAAGCGTGACTGGGATTACTTATTCGGACCGGGTTAACTCTTCCTCGGTACTCAGTTTGCAAGCTGATGACCGGGCTAGTTGACATGCCTGTCTTCAAAACTTGCTCGGTCGACGCCTCGTCTTGCCTTCCTGTCTCTTCAACTCTGACGCCGTCGTTTCTGGGGACACGTGTCTCTCGCCTATTGGCCTCGAGTAGCCAACCATCACGTCCCTTCACATTCGAAACTTTTGGCGTTCTTTCATCCCTACAAACATGCCATAACTCACTTCCTTTCGATCTTACTGAATCTCCTGTGTTCTAGTTGTTCCAGAGCTCATGTGCCTCTTGCAAGCTTCGCTCCTGCCATCCCTTGCATTCGTGTTTGAAGAACAAGCTCCTGCCCTTAACTGGTAAGTCCTTCGAGCCTTCTTTTTGCTATTTCATTTGATATTTCACATTTTAGGGCACTAAATCCGTAGTTTTTAGGATATACCCCCCCAATAACCCTCTCTTGCCCCTATTCTCTTCGATGTTCTTCAATCCCAGTGATGAACACATGAACACACCAAGAATTAGAGTAGATCGGGCTCCAAGTTGCTTTTTGATCGAAAAAACAATTAGACCGAGCAATTTACAATTTTGTCAAAACCTTAGTAGAAACCGAGGTAGACAGAGGACTTGGCCGCTCGATCGAGCTAACAACTGGTTTGCTTGAGCGACCGAGCTCATTGGTTTGTCTTCGCGATCGAGGTGGTCTGGTACTCTTTATGACCGAACTAAAGTCAAGCTCGTTTCGCGTGACCGCGCTTCCACTTACACTTGCCACCCTTTTCCTGCAGAGTCCAAGGGGACCACTAACCAATTATCGAGGCTTTCAAAGACCGAGCAGCCATTAAACTTCAGTTTGTGCCAAACCACCTCAGCTGAGCCGGCTACACATAGGCGATTCCACTTCCTTGTTGACACTC